GCAGGGAGGGGTGCCGCCCTGGCCCCGCCTGACCTGATTGCCAGGAGAAGGCAGCCAAGGGGCCTGGCTCCCTCATCCCTGCGGGCTGCCCACTGGATCTCCAAGGACCTGCCTACTTGTGTGGTCTCCACCTCCCTCAGGCTGGCCTGGTCTGCAGGTGAGTCTTGGTCTGGGTCTGGATAGACAGAGTCTCCTGCTGCCACCTGGACATCCTGCTCACTCGCCAACTCCCTCATTCACACCCGTCACTCATTTGCTCACTCATCCCCCATCCATCCATTCACGCATCCACCAGTGGGCTCTGCAGTTGGAGAGACATGAATTTAAATCCAGGGCCCCACTCCCTGCATGCCCATAGGTACTGTCACTCCATAAGATACTTACCTGCTTCAGACTTCACTTTCCTCATCTGGGAAATGGGTTCCATAATAAACAGTTGCTACTGCAGAGGGTATTGGAGGACCACATGAGATACTATATGCAAAGCACTCAGCACAGTGCCTGGCAGATAGTAAATGTGCCATAAATGTGGATTCACTCATCCAAAAAAGATGTGATTGGGTCTGTTGCATATCTAATGCTGAATCCTGGGGATGAGGGACATAGTAGGTGCTCAGTTAAATCACTGAAAGGCAGAGAGGACACAGCCTCTGGCTCTAACTCCAAGGGACTGGCTTATCCAGAGAGGAGACTGAAATGGATCTCCTGGCTCAGGCCTTGGATTTCCAACTGCCCTTGGCCTGTCCTCTTGAACAGGCCCCCACAGGGTGCCATGGGCACCGCTGTCCCCCCAGGGGCTTAAGCCAAGTTTTGGCATCATCTGACCCCTCACTCTCACTGCACACACAACCTACCAGCCAACCCCACTGGCTGTAAACTACGATCGGGTCCACCCCTTCTTGCTGGTGGCCCAGCCCATCACCAAAGTTTCCATGTGGGGACACCTCCTCCCTAGCCTTCCACTGTTTGCCCTCATCCCCTTGGTTCCTCATCTTCCAGCTTCCTAAAGCCTGCATCAGGTCCTCTTTCCTGCCTGCTCCAAAGCCTCCCTCGATCTCGCTCAGCATAAAATGCTCATAAGGCCCAGGAAGCTCTATGGCAGAGGGTCTGCAAACTGGTCCTGAGGTAAATCCCACCCCTGCCTGGTTTGTCAGGCTCCAGAGCTCAGAATGGATTTTACACTTATAAGTGGTTGGGGAAGAAATCAAAAGAAGAAGAATATTTTGTGACATGAGAAAATCATGTGAAATTTACATTTTGGTGTTCATAAATAAAGTTTTATTGGGACAGAGCCACACCCATCCATTAAAGACGATCTATGGCTGCTCCCAAGCTGCAATGGAACAACTGAAGCTGGAGGGTCCAAGAAGCCAAAAATATTTTCTTTCTGACCCTTGATAGGAAAAATGTGCCCACCCCTGCTCAAAACACTCTCCCTTGTCAGCTCCCTGAGCTCATCTCTCCCTACATTTTTTCCCCTGGTCCAATCCATCCTGCCGCAGCAGCCTCCTTTTTAGTCCTCAAACTGCTTGGTCCCACCTCCAGGCCCTTGCTCTTGCTGTGCCCTCCACCTTGAGCACCATCCCTCCCCCACTGTCCACATGGCTGATCCCTTTACTGTTGTCTGCACTAGAAGACACTCCTTCAGAGAGCCTACTCTGACCACTCTTGTCACTCTCTAGCCCTTAGTAGGGTTTATTTCCCCTTCATTGCTCTTATCACCATCTGACGTCATACTGTGTACCTTTCTGAAAACATTGTTTCTTCTTTTTTTTCATTCTGTCTCTTCTTGGTCTGTCCCCTAGAATGTCATTTCCACATGGGCAGGGATTTTGGTCCATCTTGGTCATTGCTGTATCCCTAGCAGGTACTGGGGATAGATTTTGCAGGATCCAGTGCAGAAGGAAAATGTGGGGTCCCTTGTTCAAAAATTATTACAAATACCAAGGCAGAGAGTAGATGGAAATGGGAGAGGGGATAAAGAGGATAAATGGTGATTTAAAAAAATAAAATAAAGAGAAAAAGAAAAAATAATTTCAAGACAGTGAGAACAGCATTAAACCAAACAGGGCCTGGCACACAGTAGGTGCTTAATAAATATTTGTTGAATTAATTAAAGAAATGGTGACTCTGGAGAATAAATATGAGAGAAAGAAAGAGATTGATTTTCCAGGAAGCGTTGAGACATTGGGAGTCTATGAATCTCTAAAACCCCAATCTTCTTTCTTGTGGGATTTTTCTAAAGCCTGAAATAAGGGCAGCAGGTCAGTGGGAGACTAGGCTCATGGCTCCAGTTAACTCCTATTTGATGAATGGAAACACTGAGGCCCAGAGAGGGCTGGAGAAGGCCCAGAGCAAGTACTGCCATCGCTGGGGCCTTGGAGAAAAGGCTGGTATTAGAGGAAGCGGATGGAGCAGGAGAGCACAGCAGGCAGCAGAGAAGGACTGGGGCCAAGGTGTGAGGGCTGCGCAGAGAGGAATAAAAGGTCCGCAGAGACATGAGGTGGGACTTCTGCAGTCATGGGTGTTTGCTTTCTTCCCTCGGGGAGCTGAACAAAAGCTGAACCTGACTCCTGATGCCTGCTGAGAAACTGGAGCTGGGCAGGTGGAGGGAGGGATGGCAGACGCCGGGTGTGTGTGTCCGGGTGGGGGCAGGATGGAGGACAAGCTTCTCCCCCACTTCCTCCCCCAGGCCTCCCAGCTGCTGCCATCCCAGCTCTGAGCAAACACTATTCCCTGCCCCAGACCCCCCCCCCAGACCCTCACACACAGTTTGGCATTTTAACACCCACCAGTCCCCCGCTTCTCTTGTGCCACACACCTATCAAAACACACCCATGCCCTGAATTAGGAGTCTTTTTTTTTTTTGTTCAGTTGCACAAAAGTTTTTGAAAGATTTCATTTCAATATAATTCTGTTTTTAAAATTAAACAGCTACAACTTCTGTAAATAGGCTACAACTTCTCAGAAATTCTTGAGGGCTAATGTGAAAAATCTAAGTTAGGAACCGATTCCAAACTGAAGGAAAAAATTTAGGGTGATTTCACAGTAAATGAAACTGAGCTCATGTCACGTTTTGTAGGAGGTTAATGAGCCATTTATTGCTTTCTCTCTATTTCTCTCTCTCTTTATTTTCTTTTCAGTCAATATACTAGCCTCCCTCCCCTCCAAAAAAAGCCCAAATCATGTTCACAGTGACACAGCCTTGGGGAAGTCTGGTTTTTCAATTCCAAGCTGTGTGACCTTGGGCAAATTCCTTAACCTTTCTGGGCCTCCATTCCTCATCTATAAAGTAAGGATAATAAAAGCTACTATCTCATTAAAAGAATTAAATGCATTAATATCTGAAAAGCACATGGTAAACTATTTATACTATTTGAACACAAATAAATAAAAATGAAATGAAATAAAAATTCAATGACCTTCAATTGAAAAATGAAAATAAATTTGAAAATGAAAAGGAATGTTAAAATCAATACATAACAAAAATTAATTAAGTAAAATGAGTTGGGAAAACTGAGGGAGGCCACAGAATGGGTGTCAACAGACCCAAAGTCACTCAACTTGTCAGGGACAGGATTCAAACCCAGAGCTACCTGACTAAAACCGGGCTTGTGGCCCTGCCCCCTTTTTCTGGCTTTCAAGGACTCCTCTGGCTGGGCCCTCTCTGCCCTCAGCTCCCCATAACATTCTCTGCTCCAGCCAGAAGCACCTGCTCATAATTCCATATGTCCCTAAGTCAAGCAGGCCTGGTCTAGCCTCTGAACCTTTGCCCACACTTGTCCCAGTCCCCCTCCTGTGTGCCTTCACTTGTCTAAATCTTCCCTGTTCTTCCAGGTTCCTCTCTAGCACTGCCTCCTCCAGGTAGCCTCTCTCACTGCTCTGGGCTATGGGTGCCAACGGGAGGCCCTATCACTTGGTGGAAAGACTAAGGGCCCTGAAGTCAGACATGTGTGTGTTTGAATCTCATGATGCCACTTTGCTCTGTGTGCTTTGTGACCAGGACAGGTGAGTTAACCTCTCCGGACCTTGGTTTCTGCATGGTGTAAGTGTGAAGTCAAGCCTGACTGAGCTCAGCACAAAGAGGCACTCTGCCTCTAGATGCGAATCCTCACAGGTCCCTTAATCTGTGCCCTGGACCAGCCCCCATATTGGCAGGAACTGGGGTGGGCAGGAGGGAGCGGGAATGACAGAAGGAGCATTTCCCTGTGGGGGTACACAGCCCAAGACATAGCTGCAAAGGAAGCCAGCTTGATCCCACATCAAGGCCTCTGCACTGGCTATTCCCTTGGCCTGAAATGCAATTTCCTCAAGTAAACACACAAGTCCTCCCCTTTTTCCCTTCTGATCTGTGCTCTAATATCAGCTTCTTGGCAAGGCCTTTGCTGAAAACCAGTTTAAAATTGCAACCTAGCCTTGGCTGGGTAGCTCAGTTGGTTAGAGCATTGTCCTGATACCCCAAGATTGTGGGTTTGATTGGTCAGGGCACATACAAGAATCAACCAATGAATGCATAAATATGTGAAACAACAAATCTCTCTCTCCCTCTTTCTCTCTGTCTATCTGTCTTTCTCTCTCTTCCTCTCTCTCTCTAAAAAGAATTTTAAAAATTAAAATAAAATAAAATTGCAGCCTATTCACCCTACACAGCCCAGTTTCAGTTTGCTGGCAACCAGTTTAAAATAACAACCATCTCCCTGGACACTCCAATTCCTTTTCCTTGCTTTCTTTGTCTCAATGGCACAAAATATGCCTTTCCACTCATTTATCTTGTTTTGTGTCCATCTCTCCCACCCAGCTGGCAGAGATTTCTGTCTGCCCTATTTATTGCTGTTGGTTCTGTGTCAAAACAGTGCCTGATACAAATGTTTGCTGAATGTGTATAGTCAAAAGCAAGAGATCGTGGTGAACACGCGATACAATATGCAGATGATGCATCACAGAACTGTACGCCTGAAGCCTGTATAATTTTATTAACCAATGTCACCTCAATAAATTCAATAAAAATTTTTTCCCAAGGGTTGTTGCAGCTTTGTCACATAAAATATTGAAAGTTAAATGTGACTTGGAAAAGCATCTAATATGTGACAGCAAAGACATGGGGATAATGACTGAATTTTTTAAAATCCTCACCCAAGGACATGCTTAGAGAGAGGGAGAGAGGGAGAGAGAAAGAGAGAGAAAGATCTGTGTAAGAGACAAACACCAATCAGTTGCCTACTGTATATGCCCTGACCAGGGATCGAACCTGCAACCCAGGCAATGTGCCCTGACCTGGAACTGAACCAGTGACCTTTCAGTGCACAGGACGATGCTTAACCAACTGAGCCTCTCCAGCTGGGATGCATTATATTTTGAATCAATTAAATTCCTTGAATGTGAAGTTGCCCTTATATATGAAAAATAAAACAAATTTGCCTATTAGGAAAAAAAAAAAAAAGTAAGAGATCAAGGTCCCCAAGAAAGTGAGTCCTCAGAAAAGCAAGTGGTCACTGTAGCTGGGAGAACAGAGATCTTCTGGAAGAAGTGTTATTAGTGCCAAATTGGAAGGGATGGGGAGGGTTTGGTAGGTAACAATTCAGGGAGAGGGATTCCAGGGGGAGGAGCAGCGTGGGCAAAGCTATGGCGTCTGGAAAGCTTGAACAGAAAACAGTGGGGACATCAGGACAGCAGGGGGCAGTAGAGAAGAAAGGAAGGGGAGGCAGCCAGAGGCTAAAGGGGTAAACTGGAACCTGTGGGAGGTGAGGAGCTATGGTAGAGTTGTGAACAGGGAGAACCTGGTCATATGGAAGCTGCCAAAAGAATCTGATGGGCAGAGGATAGTGGCCCACCAGCCCAGGGGATCTTCAGCCAGGCCCTGGGGGACAGCAACCTGAGGTTGGGGTACAGCGTGCATCTCAGTGGCCTCAAGCTCACCTCTGTCTTCTTAAATCGAGCCCGGAGAGTCTTCATGGCCAGCATCCGGTGTTTCTCCTCAACCCAGGCCACCTGGGAAAGGACAGGGGGTGAGGGACATCAGTCTTGGCAAGCGGGAGGGTCAGCTACCTTCCCCTCCTCAAAGGGCCCACTTCCTCCACCCTGGGCCATCCTGACCCCTTGAGCAGGACACAGACATGCTCCATCTCCTAACTGCTGTGTGTCCTTCAACAGGTCACCTGCCCTCTCTGAGTTTCATATCTCTCACCCTTAAAATAAGGAAGATAATCCCCTCTTGACCAACTCATGGTCAGTTTTCAGTGAGGTCTGAGGCATAAGGTCAGCAAACAGTAGGGGCTCAAAAGTGCAGTTCACCAGTATTCCCTGTGACCCAAGTAGATCAAGTTTTTCTGGTCTCCAAGCTTTTAACTGTGCAGTTATTGCTACCTAAAACACCTTTCTTTTTTCCTACTCTGGACTCCTACAGGGCCCAGTTTCAAAATCCCATGTTCTGATCGATCAGTTTTGCCTCTCACCTGTAGGCAGAGCTGTAACTCACCAAAATGGGTTCCCCCAGCAGTGCCTGGGTCCCGTATAACCCAGCCCTGGCTCCACAAGCTCAAAATGTATGGCTGGTTCTACTGTCCTGAACAGTTAGGGGCTCTTTGGGGGCCAGATCTAGGGCTGTGGCTCTTAGCACAGAGGCATGTTTCTTGGATAGTCAGAGAGAACATCTTGCAGCTAAGTCCCCTTACACCAGCCTGGCTTCTGCTTGAGTGAGAGCATGGAAGAAAGTCACCCAAGGTGGATGGAGGTCTGGGTCAATGGTTATGTGCATGTATGTGCACACACAAGCATGAGGCATATGTGTGCATGCATGTCTGGGCACCTTGCCCTGTTCCGTGTTCCATGCATGTGCAGGATTAGGCAGGTCAGGCAGGGCTATCTGGAGGGGATTTTTTTTTCTTGTTCTTTGCTTTTTTTAAAAATTAATCTTTATTGTTGAAAGTATTACAGATGTCCCCCTTGCCCCCTATTGATCCCCTCTACCCCACATCCACCCAACCCCCTGGCCATTCCCATACCAATGTCTGTGTTTATGGGTTATGCTTATAAGCATATAAGCTCTTTGATTAGTCTCTCCCCACCCACGCCCCATCCCCCCTTCCCTCTGAGATCCCTCAGTCTGTTCCATGCTCCTATGTCTCTGGATCTATTTTGTTCATCAGTTTATTTTGTTCATTATATTCCACGTATGAATGAGATCTTGTGGCCCTTCACTTTCTCTGACTGGCTTATTTCACTGAGCGTAATACTCTCCATGCCCCTCCATGTTGTCCCAAAGGGTACCAGACCCCTCTTCTTTACAGCTGCGTAGTATTCCACGGTGTGAATGTCCCACAGCTTTTTCATCCATCATCGACTGATGGGCACTTGGACTGTTTCCAGATCTTAGCTACTGAAAATTGCTCTGCTGTGAACATAGAGGTGCATAAGTTCTTTCTGATTAGGGTTTTGGGTTTCTTAGTATATNGCCCCCTCCCCACAAGGGGATGTTTTGCTAGATGTGGGGTTCTGAGTGGAATTTCTGTGAAGGTGTGTCTTTCACCTGCCCTTTCACCTGTCCACCTCACCATGACTTCCCCAAGCCATCCTTCCATCCCTCTACCCACTCACTGTGCATCCATCTTCCCTACCCAAGGATTTGTACATCCACCCACCAACTCACCCACCTAACTCATCTTCTCATGGTCCTTCATGCACCCCTTAACCATGCTTTATTCACTGTGCAACCACCACTCACCACCCACCACTCACCCACCCACCCAGACATCTATCTACCCACCCACCTATGCACTCACCCAAACATCCAACACCCACCCACCCATCTACTCATCCATCCATCTTTCGTCCACCCTACAATGACTTAATCGACTTACCATCCAACCATCCATCCATCCAGTCCCTTTTCCACCCACCACTCACCCACCCACCCACCTACTGCCTATCCATTCATCTCCTCAATTTACCCCATTCACTCAGTGAACCTCTTCGCTCACCACCCACCCCATCCTTTTTTACCCCTGTTTAAAGGACTCAATCACACCCAGAGAAGAGTGTAATAGGACACTCAGGAGAGGAGTCCACAGGTTGCTTGAGAGGGTGGGAATCTGTGGGCTTGGGGGGGAAGGAAGGGCCCTCACCTAGGGAGCTGCTTCCTGGAAGAGGTGATGATATACAAGCAGGGCCTGAAGGCCAGGCAGGGTATTAAGCAGCAGGAAAAGAGGGTACATACCCGAGACAAGACTAAGTCTGAGAAGTGGGAGGTGCATGCAGGTACAAGTGCGTGTGTCAGGGCGCCTGGGTAGCCACTCAGTGTGGCTGGGATATGTACCAGCCCCTCCCTTCTCCCACATCCTAGGGCTTAGGGACAAGGAGCCCAAGGTCTTAAGGGGAGCCCCCATCCCAGGCCTCCCTTGTCTCCTTCCTCTCCTACCTCCTGCAGCTCCAGTGACTCCAGCACCAGGCCACCGTGTTCACTGCTGGCTCCGGTTACCCTCTCCCTGCTGGGCCACCAGCTCGCACCAGCAACTCCGTGCACTAAGCTCTGACACCTGATCAGCTCTGAGAGGGTGGCCAGCAGCCCCAGGGGGCCGGGGATGAGCTGAGGGAGGAGGCAGGCTGGCAGCAGGGCTGCCTGTTGGCCAGCAGGATCTAGTGGGAAGACACCCGTGCTCTTCCCTATCATCACTGGACACATTTCAGTTTCTGGAATGAGCTACTCTCTTCCTCTCCTCCCAGCCTTTGCACTTGCTGTTCCCTCCATGAGGAGCACCCTTTCTGTACCCATGTCACCCCCAACTTGCTCATCTCCCCCTCTCACTCCTACTTACTCTTCAGATCTTTGCTACAACATCCACTCCCCCAGGAAGCCTTTCTGGACTGCACCTCAGTCACACTAAGTCACCATTGCCCAGTCACTGGTTTGTGTCCATCATTAGCCACAAGGTGCCGCACACAGAAGTAGATGCTCAACACATGTTTCTTTTTCCTTTCTTTTCTGTTCTTTCTTTTTTTTATTTTGAGTGTAAAGCTGGGGACAGTGAAACAAGGAAGGGTTTAGCATAGAAAAAGCAACAGGAGAGAGCCTGGGGGGCTGCTTCGGTTCTCTAGAGATGTTATAGGAAAGAAGTGAGCTAAGGCTAGGCTGCTGCTGGCTCACTTTGAAGTAAGTCACGGTGACAAGAGTGAGCGGAGGCAGAGCTGCTGTTGGCTCACTTCGGGGGGCGGTAAGCCTGGGAGGGGCTGCTGCTGCCTCTTAGTCCCCTGGTTACAAGTCTCCGTGGGACCCTTAGAACTCAGGGAAAAAAAGCAGGACTGAGAAAGGCATGGGCGTGCTCCAGAGGGAGCCAGCTCAACACGTGTTTCTTAAATGAATCCTAAAGGCCACCTTCTCTAGCCTCCTGTGCAGTCTGGCCCAGTCCTGCCGAGTGGAGATCACCATCCACCTGAATAATATTCAGATAACTTAGTGCGGCTCCCTACCACACGCATCCTTCACTTGTAACTTCATAAACTTCTGAACTGTGCAGTGGAAGGAACCTTGGACTGGAAGTCCCAGTTCTGGGATGCTTCTTTATCCTCAAGGGGGGCGGGGGGCTGGAGGTGGAGCATCAGTTTCCTAATTTATAAAAAGGTGAAATCGCTGTGTCCCTCGTTTTAGAGCTTACTGGAGAACGCTCACCTGGGCGGCCGCCCCAGCTTCCTGCGGGGTTACAGCCCCACGAGAGCGTTTAGAAGTGAGCCAGCTTCTTTTACCAGCAGTTAAAATGGCGCCTGCGGCGTCAGCGAGAGACGCATGCGCCTTGGTGGGAGAGACCGGAAGGCTCCTCCTTCTAACGAGTCCCTCCCGGTTTCCGGCGGAAGTGGCCTCAACAAGGGAAACTTTATTGTTCCCGTTGCAGTGGCGAGAATGTCGGTGAATTACGCTGCGGGGCTGTCGCCGTACGCTGACAAGGGCAAGTGCGGCCTCCCCGAGGTGAGCGCGGCCGGGGATCCCGAAGGCCGCCCCTTCCTGGGCCGCGGGCCGGGTGGGCCGGACGGCAGCAGGGCATTGTGGGACTATTCGGAGGCACCGAGGCTAGACAATGGGAGGGACTTCCCACTGAGGAGCGGGTGGGAAGTGACGCCCCTAGCGCGCCCCGGGACGCAAACATGCCCAGCCCCGGGTCGGCGTGGCTGGCAAAAGGCGAAGGGCCCGCGTTAGCCAAGTCCTGAAGTTATGATGGGGGGACAGGGGATGTAGTTCTAGGCGGAAGGCACTTTAGGGGCAAAGGCAGGGGGAGTGGGAGTAAATGCACTTGGGGAACAGATTAAGCCAGGGACATCTCGTGAGTCAGGCCAGGGCGGTCCCCAGATGCTAGCTTGGGACGTTGACACTTTATCCTGCGAGTGATGGAAACAGATTTTGAGCTGGGGAGGAGCCTGGGATGGATGTAAGTATGTGTCAGGAAGACCCCTCCCGCTACTCCGAGAGAAGTCCCCTCCATACACCGAGACCTTGAGCTTGTCACTTCCGTTCTGGAGAGGAGTGCCCCCTTCTGTAAACTTGCGGGGTAACATTGCCCTCATCCCACAAAAGCAACTCAGTTCATTCTGAGTCAGACATTTAAGGAGCTCTGAGAAGGTGTGAATCCCTCTGGAAGCCCTGTTCCTCTCCTGCTTGTGTTCACTTTATTCCTCCAATATTTGTTCAGCATGTACTGTGCACCAGGCACTCTCTGGGTCCTGGCGCCACAGCAGGGAACAAGACAGACAAAACCCCATCATTCCAGTGGGGAAAGAGAGAAGCAGTAAGTAAATACAAGAAGTGAGGTGGACGCTAAGGAGAAAACGCTAGAGAGAAAAGTGAAGCTGGCAGTGATGAGAGCTGGGGGCTGCACTGAAACCAGGTGGCCAGGGAGGCATCACTGAGATGACTTTTTTCAATGTTTTCTATTGTGGTAAAGTACACCTTTCATAACATCATCTTAATG